GTCGGCGTGATCAGCATCGGCGCCGTCGCTGTCCGCCCCGTCGTCGTTGTCGACATCGCCACCGGCATCGCTACTATCATCGTCGTGTCTACTTTTGTCGACGCTGCCGTGATGCCGCGCCCTCCCAAGTCGCCGACTTGCAGCGAAGTGCCCGCTGGGCCACCGCGGCCGCGTCGGTCGCGCCAAACGAGCTGGCCGCTGCGCGCGCGTGCTTGGGTCGACGCGGCCGCAGAGATGCACCGGCCGACGCCGAGCGTGCATCTCAATCGCCGCCGCATGGGTTTTGCAAACCAAGTTGCGGGTGGGTGGGTGAGGTCTTTGCAAGAGCACGGAATGTGGTAACTCGTTTGTGAAAATCCAGTGCGCACCATTGGTTGCACCGCGTATATTGGACCGCGTAGATGGCGCCACCGATGTTGTTTCACACATATAGCACAACCTATATATTGCCACACATATCGCACGACGTAGATAGCTTCGCGTGTATAGCGTTGCATATGTTGCACCGCATAAATTGCACGCGCCACAGGGCACAATTATGTGTTACACAACGTAGATAGCATGCACTCGGTTGCGTAACATACATTGCAATCCGTGTACTGCGCACAACATATAGTAAACCATGTATGTATGTACGTATGTATGATTATGTATGTATGTATGTATGTATGTGTATATATATATATATGTCTATGCATATTCCCCTTTTTCTCCCCCTCGAAAAGGGAAGACTCTATCCCCCCCTTTTCCCCCCTCTTCCTCCCCTCCGCCCTCCCCCTCCCCCCCTGGATTATTGCCCCTCCTTTTCGTGTTGCAGTTTACTTATGTCTCTGCTCCATCGTCCATCTTATATATGAGCTCGCACCATTCCGGGGGGCCCGCGTTCCCCCCCCGCCATCTTCTGCAAAAGGAAACGATGCGCGAGTTTTCGTTGATCAACAGTCCTCAGTTTCCAAAAACCTTGCGCAAACAAAAAACAAGACGAAGTGCGCGCGCGTTGCCGCGCGCGCGCCCAAATCGTTGAAAGTGAACTTCCGTTTTCGCGCGGATTTCAAAATCGAGTGTCCAGAAACACACATATCAGAACATTGGTTCCGCAAAGCAGAGTTTTTTCAAGCTTGCGGGCGCATTCTTGCGAATTCTTACGAAAACCGAAATGCCACCAAAACGGGCTTCGCGCGCGCGTGTCGAGATCGTTTGACTGCCTTTGCGCGCGTGCCGTCGCGAGAGTCCCAAACAAACAGTGGGGCGAAGTGCGCGCTCGCGCGCCGTCGAGCGCGCGTGCCGAAATCCGTCCAATACCTTTTTGATTTCGTACGTAGCGATTTTAAAACTGGGCGCCCACGCGCGCACGCATATATATATATATATATATATATATATATATATACACACCACATGGTTTCGCAACGTCTGACGTCTGTTTGCACATGCGTGCGCACGAGCTCCTGCGAATCCTCATTTTTTTTTTTTTTTTTTTTTTTTTTTTTTTTTTTTTTTCTCTCTCTCTCCTCTCTCCGTTTTTTTTTTTTTTTTGTTTGCTCTCTCTCTCTCTCTCTCTCTCTCTCTCTTCTTCTCTAAAAAATATTGTTTTGTTTCTTTTCATGTAAAAAATATTTGCTTAAGTAAAAAATAGTCATAGTATCTTAATTTTTAATATAAATACACGCATATATATATATATATATAACTGCATGTATGTATGTGTATATATATATATATATATATATATATATATATATATAACATTTTCATGGGGCTCTGCCAGACGGGCCTCTGGCGCCGCATGCTGACATCATTCGCGCGCCTTTGCGCGCGTGCTGGAAGGCACCGTCCGTGTCCAATAATAACATGCGGGCAATTCTCGCGCGTCGGCTGCGCGCGCGTGCCGAACTCTTTCCAAAACCTTCATCCCCGACGCGTGGGCGCCCTCATCGTCGTTGGCGTGATCAGCATCGGCGCCTGCACTGGCCGCGCTGTCGTCGTTGTCTTCATCGCCATCAGCATCGTTGCTGTCATCGTCGTGTCTACCGTTGTCGACGTTGCCTTGATACCGCGCCCGCCCATGTTGACGACTCGCAGTAAAGTGCCCGCTGTGATGCGCCCAGCGGTCAGCGCTACCGCGGCCGCGTCGGTCCCGCCAAACGAGCTGGCCGCTGTGCCCGCTGCGCGCGCGTGCTCGGGTTGGCGCGGCCGCAGAGATGCACCAGCCAACGCCGAGCATGCATCGCAATCGCCACCGCATGGGTTTTGCAAACCAAGTTGCGGGTTGGTGGGTGGGATGTTTGCAAGAGCATGGGATGTGTCAATTCGTTCGTTAAAATCAATTGCGCAGCACACATTGCACCACACAGGGTTCACTACATGGAGTGCGCCACATTGATGGCGCCACACATATTGCGCAGCGTAGATTGCACACCAGATGTTGTGCCACATCTATTTGTTTTTCTACACCAAATGTCGGCTTCACCCTGACTTTATCGCTCCCCCTTCTGGGTTGTCCAATTTTCATATGATTCTGTTCCATGGTTCATTTCGAATGTTTCATCCCAGGGGAAGTCCTTATCGCCCGCTTCATCCATGGCAACAAATACTTTGTGCGTACACCGCGGTTATCAATCGTTAGTCATTTCGAAAAATCCAGTGCAAACGTGTGGCACAGTCTACACGCGCGCGGCATCGCGCGCGCATGTCGGAATCGTTCGGGTGTCATGAAAATTTCAAGATCGAGGTTCCCAGACAAAAAATGCAACGCCAATTCTGCGCGCGCGTTCTGGTTAATCTTTATTCAAATCATTGGTTTTCAACGTTCCCGTCAAGTGAGACCATCCAGGCCTCCCGCGCGTGTGTTTTGAATTCATTCGAACGCCCTTGCGCGCTTGCTGGGGGTTACGGTCCGTGTCCAATAATACCGCGCGGGCCACTCGCGCGCGTCCGCCGCGTTTGCAAATCGAAGTTTTTCCAACAATTTCGCCGCCGACGCGTGGACACCATCATCGCCATCGGCGTGGTCAGCATCGTCGCCGTTATTGGCCTTGCCGTAGTTATCGCTTTGTGGTCACCAGCGTCGCTAGTATCATCATCGTGTCCGCCGTTGTCGGCGTCGCCAAAATACCGTGCCTGCCCGAGCCGCCGGTTCGCGCTGATGTGCCCGCGCGTCAGCGCGGCCTGTGAGACGCGCTACGAAGTGCCCAGCGGTCAGCGCTGCGCGGCCGCGTTATTTGCGTACCTTTCTTTTATACCTGTGCGTAGATGATTTTTATGACACTTGGAATGCGATGATTGTTATGTGTTGTGAAGGCATCACGGCTGGTGCCGCCAACCCAGAAGGACGACGACGACGATCACGACGACGACCACGACGGCAACGACAACGACGAGCTGCCACAGGCTCGGGACATGGGGCGGCAGGAGGAGCAGGAGGAACGATAATTTTTATGTATTTGAGATGCGGTGATTTTATGTATTTGTTTGGGTCTGAGGATGTGCCTCATGTGTTGCGATCGTGGTGGGCGCCCTGTCCCTGGCATTCCATTCCGACGCAGCACTCTTGAGACCCTTGCTGCATCTCGATCCCTCGGCGACGACGAGGCTCGTCAATCTGCCTGCTGTCACTAGCGTGCGAGCAGAGGATGGCGTCTTCTCCAGGGCTCGTTTGGATTACTTCGATTCGATTCGATTCGATTCGACTTCAATGGCTTCCGATTCCGATTCGATTCGACTTGAGATTCCGATTTTGGGCTCCGATCTCTCATTGGAGGCGCACGGACCTGCCGATCTCCGCCGATTCGACGACTTTTCTCGACTCGGCTGCCGATTCCCGCCGATCCGATTCGTTTGGACCGCCGATCCGGCTTGTCGATTCGACTCTGGGCTTTCCTGGCTCCGCAGCCACGGGGGGCCCATGCTGTGCTGCAAGGCCTGGCGGGTCGCCTGAGGACGCCGCGGGCAAGCGCTGGCCGAGTGGCCTGCGCTGGAGAGGTACAGTGGGGACTCATGCCAAGAAACACCCTTTTTTCCTCCAGGGTGCCCTGGGTTTCGTGGGTTTCGATGGTCTTGCCATGGAAAGCGTGACGTTCCCAAACGAAAAATTAATTGAAGTCCTGGGGTCTCAGGGGTGGGTTTCTTGTGGAAGGTTTCTCGTGGTCGGGCCATTATTGTATGGCTCCGACGCCGATCCGAGAAATCCGCGCGGGTCTATGAAAATGTAAACGCGCTGCCAACAGGAACGCCAAATAAGCAACGAAGGAGTTTTCCGGACCACGGCCACCATGGGTTCACAAACGCTGGGGCCCATTTATGCGGACCTTCCAGGCTCTACGCGAGCGCCCTGCACATGCTGGTTGACACTGCTACGCGGGCCCTCTAGATCCGTGTGCTGCCACTGCTTCTCTATCGCGGCGGCCGGGTGGACAGCCATGTGCAGGCCATTTTTACGATATTATTACACGCGGGCAAACTTCAACGCCAACGTGTGAGAAAGAAGCGATGAGTACCTGGATACCGCTACTGATCACTAGGGGGCCCGTGCCCCACGATGTGATGGTCTCGGGCGGAGGAACGTATTGGTGCGTGAGTTTCGGATCACATGCGACTCGTAGCAGCCACGATCCCTTGAAGTGCCTACCAGCGTGCACCTCGGACAAGAGTTGGTTTAGATTCAATCGAGGTCTTGCTTGACTGCCTTTCTCTGCCTCTCGCCTGATTTGGGGCCTTTGTATTGTTCAATTGAGTGACCTCTCGTCATCTGAGTGGTCCTACTCCCCGTCTCTTCCCCATTCCTACTGCTTCTCCTCCTCTCCCTCCTCCCCGTCTTCCCTTCCGCCACAATCACCCCTCTACATCCCCTCGTCCCCCTCCTCCTCCGCCTGCTCGTTCTCGTCCCTGACCCTCTCCCCTTCTCCTTCGTGCCTTCGCTCCTTCCCCTCCTCCATCCCTCCTCCCTCCTCCCTCCTCCTCCTCCTCCTCCTCTTCCTCCCCCTCCTAGGCCCCTGCGGAAGGTACCGCACCAACTCCGCCGACATGAAGCACGCGCTGGAGGCCTTGGAGGGCGCCATCACCTCGCTGAAG